TGTGTGTATGTTCCCTGTTGCGTGGCAGCATCTGCTGACGCAGGCGTTTGTGGAACACCTGTAAAGGTCCCTGAACCACTTGTGAGAATAATTGCCTGTGTGTTGAGCTTTGTAAAGGTCCCACTACTGTTCTCATTCCACAACTTCATACAAACATGAAAGTGGGCTGCATCTGTCAGCGCCAGCACCGGGTCAACAGTGTTCAAAGATTGGTTTTAAAAGGAGGTCACATGAAAAACCCTTCATCTTTTGAAATAAAGTTAAATAGAATAGATTTTAGATTTTTATAAATTCCAGAGCTTCAAATAATAATAATAATAATAATTTTCCTTGATATTTTGAAATGACAGAGTTCAGTGTACTACATTTAAAAAATATGTTCAGAAATTCAAAAATAATATACAAACAAACAAAAAAAATTGTATTGATCTTTTGAAATAACATATTAACTACATTTTAGAATTTTTGAATTTCCAGAGATTCAAAAATGTAAAAACAAAAATGTCTGTGATCTTCTGAATGAATAACAGTGTTCAATATACAGTACTAGATTTTATAATTAAAAATAAATAAATAAATAAATAAATCTTTTGAAAAAGATTAAAAAATAAAGAAAATTATTTTTAAGAAACATAAATAAATAAATAAATCATTGATCCTTTAAAATAACAGAGTTCAATGTAATAGATTTTAGAAATTTAGAACCTTCAAAAATTGAAAAATAAATAAATTAATAAAAATTTCCTTGATTTTTGAAAAAGCAATGTACTAGATTTTAGAATTTCAGAACTTTCAGAGATTAAAAAAAATACTTAAACTAATTTTACTTGGCCTTTTGAAGTAACAGAATTAAATTTTAATTTTTTATTTTATTTTAAAATTAAAATTTTTAATTTAGATTTTACAATATTAGTTCTAATTTTCAGAGACTCAAAAATAAAAATAAATAAATAAAATTCTCTTTTATCTTTTTAAATAAAGTGTTCAATGTACTAGATTTGAGAATTTTAGAACTTAGAGATCAAAGCATCAATAACAACAGATGTTATTTAAACAAACTCTTAAAGGTACAGTTGCAAAAACAGGGGTTCCAGCCGCATATTTCATTATGAGGGATTGAACTGTAAGGTGAAAGTGCAAGTCAAATTGTAGCCAAGTACGGTGTCCCATGCTCGGAATTTGTGCTCTGCATTTATTCCAATCTAAGTGCACACACACACTGTGAACACACACCCGGTACCGAAACTCGAACCCACGACCTTTGGGTTACAAGTCCGACTCTCTAACCATTAGGCTACGACAGCCCTGACTGTCATATACGTGTTGGAAAACGTGCCTCTGTGCATCATCTGGACTGTTTTGAACAGCCTCGAGTGGATCTATACCCTGAAACAGCTTCTCCCAGCATTTCATTGATCCAGATGCTTCACGGTAAAGATGTCACTTACTTACTCAATTGAAGCAGCAGCAGTGTTGATCTAAGTGGTTCACTGATGGACCGATAAAGAAAATTGTGTTTAATGGGTAAGTTAGAAGAAAGCAATATGATAGAGCTGGACTGATAAACTAGTGTGACGTCGAACTGCATCCTCTCTCGCCTCATTTACAGCCAAATTATGAAAGCCAAGTCGCCGTTGATGGAGCCGTTTACTGATCGGTGTGAAAGGTTACGGACAAGGACAGGTCAGGACATGCCACTGTTCTCACTGGTTTAGCATGCAAACGCTGATGTTATTCATACATCACAGTAAAATTTGGAGTTCTTATAATATTAAATATGACACAGGTCTGAACACAAACAAACAAAAAATAATACATTTTGACATTTCCTGAAGTGCTTGATCATGCAAAACTTGCTGCCAAGATGTTGCGGGTGGTTGCCAGGGTGTTGCTAGGTGGTTAAAGTCAAAACAGCACACTTACATGCATTGTGGACTTGGTAGCTCAGAAGTCTTTTCTGCTCATCAAGGTTGCATTTATTTGATCAAAAATGCAGTAAAAACCGTAATATTGTGAAATATTTTTACAACTTAAAATAACTGTTTTCTATTGTAATATATTGTAAAATATATGGAATGTATTGCTGCGATCAAAGCTGAATTTTCAGCATCATTACTCTTCAGTGTCACATGATCCTTCAGAAATCATTCTAATATGCTGATTTTCTGCTCAAGAAACATTTCTGATTATTATATCAGTGTTGAAAACAGATTTGCTGCTTCATATTATTAAATTAAATATTATATAAAATACTATAACATTATATTTTTGTGGAAACTGCATTTTTTTTCAGGATTCTTTGATGAATATAAATTATTAGTGTCTTTCAGAAAAACCATGCTGACTCCAAACCTTTGAACTGTACTGTGTGTTTTCTTAGCTGTACTGGGGGACAAAGTTAATTCAGACAAAACCTCAATTTTTCAAAACCTGCAGACGTCCTCCAAAGAGCAAATGATTCATAAATATTGTACGCAAAGCACAGAGTTTTCTTTTAGGGCTAAAGTTAGTTTTTGGTTTAGTCTGTAGATCATAACGTTGCAAAACCAACGGGTTTTGATTTCCAGGAAATGCATAAACTGATCAAATATAAAACTTTATTGCAATGTAACTCACTTTAGATAAAAGCATCTTCCAAATGCATAAATATAATCTAAATGTAGTCACCTAATTAGCTTTGAATATAAATGTAAAGCAATAGAAGTCTATGATACTGCCTCGTTTAGATAGCGAAGTAAATGTGTAGAGAGAAAAGTTTAGAAAATATGAATATGGTTAGTCTGAAATCTGAGGGCAGAAATCCATATTCCATTAGTTCCATATAACATCATTCTTGAGAAGTGTGAATATCATCATTCTAATCTGTCAGATCTCTTCTTAGGCCTGACATTTTTTATGCCTCTCTTAGTTGTACACTGTAAAAAATGATTTTTCAAAGTTGTAAATAAAGCAAAGGTTACACAAAAACTACTCATTTGCGAAAAAAGGCCTAATATTACTTAATTTGATGATGCTGCGTTCAGTGTTTTTGGATTACGTATTACAAGAAATCTGCAATTTGCAATTAATTTAATCTGTTACTTGTAGTTTCTTTGTAATTATTTGTGAAATTTACTAGCATGTCTGACAGAAAATTGTTTTAGAGTAAATCCTTCACCATTTTTTTTTCAGTTGTAGTTAAACACACACACACACACACACACACACACACACACACACTGTGATGAAGCATCAATGGACCATTAACGTGTGTCCTAGTTTAGATGGTTAGTTGTCCGTTGACATTCCACACTCATCAGGAATCACCCGATTAAACTGCCTCTGAATTATTCACAATTATTCTCTTCTCTTCTGTGACCTGAAATGCATCTCGCCTCAAAATTCAAAACCTCCACACATCAAAAGTCTCTCCCATCCTAAGAGGTGGTTATGTGTGTCTCTGTGCAGTGTGTGTGTGTGTGTGTGTATTTATAAACAGGCTTTCTGTTAGACATGCTCTAAATCTACAGAGTGTTTCTGACTGCTGCTGTCCGCCTGCTTCTGTTCCTCTGCGGTTCACTCCAGTGACAGGACAGGGACCATCCTCTCACTGCCAGAAATAGCACACAGATCACACGCACCGCTCAGGTTACTCAAGAGAACATGGGAAGCATCTAGA